ATACCCCTGGCCGTTGAACGCGCATCACTGTAATGAGCCAAAGTACGCATTTGCCTGCACAGTGAACAAATGGTTTCCTACGTGACTGAAGCTCTCGTCCTTTTCAGGGCTGTAAGTCGTTTCACTGAAATTCTGGCCGCAAGTTTTAAGTGCATCGTCGAGTGGTACTACGGCTATCTCGGCACGGTAACCGACATAAGATATGTAAACACGTAAAGCGGCCGGAACGCGAAGCAAACCACTCGGCTTGATTTAATGTCGTGTTAGAATGTCTTGTGATTTACCTCTCCACCCCGTACAAACGTTCATTTTGTGAGTTTATTTGCAGGGAGACACATTACACCCTGATCATTTTTAATACAAACTAAACTTATTCTGAAATAGGCATGGGCCACTGGAATCAAACTAAACAGGAGAACGAAAATAAATTATTTTTTGTTTGCTGGAATTTTCTAGGATTGCCAAGTTTTGTGCGTGAACTACTACGTCTCAGCTCAAGCGGTTAGTCGCTGGCTTCCCACCACGGCGGCCTGGGTTCGATCCCGGGTCTGATCAAGTGGAATTCGTGGTGGACAAAATGGCGCTGGGGCACGTTTTCTCCGAGTACTTCGGTTTCCTCTGCCAATCTTCATTCCACCAATTGCTCCACAATCACCCTCGCCTATCATCTGGGGCTGGTACAATGGGCCAGAAGTGGCCGCAGTACAAGGGACTAAGTCCCACTACGTCTCACTACACACATGCTGTGCACCAAGTTGGGACTTCAGGGTCAGGACACGATCTCCTCACCTTACACAAACCGCACACGGCTTCTGTACATTCAATTGCTTTTCCTTCCCAAGCTGCCTGACGTACACGTCGTTCATTTTAAACATTCGGTGTCTCCGGACTACACACGACGTTACATCCAGAAACTAATACTCTCTTCATAGTCACCGCTGTGAGAAGCTCGCATCCATAATTCTGCAGTTTTAGAATATCAACATTCTTGAAATTTACGATAAACATGGAATGCTGAACAAGCGATCGAAAGCACTCAAGAAATGCGTCTTGGAAACAAGGTTTTATCATCTACACGTTCGCCTAACGGCGTTATCACAGCAAGAACAGAAGCAAGATTCGGGGACACGGAGATACATATAAAGCATATAAAGAGGAAGAAAAACTGTGAAAACAGAGCCGAGGGTCGAGCCCGACATCTGTCCTACATTCCTATTTTTCGAGATGCCCAGACACCTTTGTAGGTCTTCAAGGCACACGAGCAGGGAACCCAAGACCCTTCCTGGCCGGTCTCGCACAAGGTCAATTCATGGATTTATGACACTAGGAGCAAACAGGCGACGTTAGGGACAATAGTGACATCCTAAGCCTAAGGAGGACAATAGCTGAATTACAACTAGACGGTCCCGGGTTGGTATCTCGCCGGAGGAGCGTCTCTCATGGTGAGAAACAGTGCATCAATTCGTCATGCCCTTAATTAAATCATTTTGGAGAGGGACGTGTGGTTACAGTACTATTATACTTCAGAAATTACAGGCTTGGTAGTACAGCAACCAACCAAAACACATTCTCTTCCAACAGAAGCAATGCGGGCAGGCAAGTAAATTAAGAAATCCCAATAAAGAATTGGGAAATAGTTAATGTAAAAATTACAAATTTTCTTGGGGTTATATAAACGAAAGCAATCTCAGCTGGAAAGTACAAATTGAAAGATCCTGCAGTATAATTAACCGTAACTTATTTATAATTAATAGGCTATTTGAAATACCTTATACAACTGTAAAAAGAATGCTGTATTATGGTTTGATTTAACCCCTTGTGTCATGTGGAACCATTGTACAGGGACAGGGTGCAAAGCACTACCTAGACAAATATTTACCCTTCAAAAAAGGGCTGTAAGGTACATGGTAAGGTTAAAACAATTGGGATCATGTAGAGCTAGCTTTAGGCAACTAAAGATATTAAGAGTAAATTCACTATACATTCAAGAATTGTATATGCAAAAGAAAAGTGTAACTGTGCTGTAAATAAACATGTATATATATATATATATATACACACATATAACACCAGAAATAATGACTATCATAGGCATGTTCAAAATTTAGAACTTCATAACAGTAAAACAGTAGCAGTGGCAGGTTTCGCTTCTGTAAGAAATTGCCTAACAACATACGACAACCAGTTTAAAAAGGAGAAGGGCTTACCTATTATTCAACAGGTTATCTCATTAAAGCATTCTGTAATAATGACTACCGATATGCTGATGTGTAGAATAAGCTATATTTTTAATAAGTTTATGCCGCAGTGTGGTTCGATATTATGGATGGTCATACCCTATACCAGGATCACGGTAACCCCTACGCTACGTAAGCGGTAGCGTAGTTGCTTGAGGGGCTATGCTACAAGCCGGAAAGTCCCGATGAGATTAGTGGATTTTTTCAGTTGACCTAACCCTTCCAGTCGCACTAGGACCTGGGGCCTCTAACAGAAATTAATTAAATAATTATCCTGGGGAGTAAAGCGCGGCCGGCGCGTAAGGCTCACAACCTTACCGCCATCTTTGAGCTGATTGTCTAGCTAGTGTGGGACCCTCAATGTCTCACAACTCTATGGGACTTCACGGCCTGGTACACGGATAGCTTTACTTTTTTTACTTTTCACACCCTATACCAGGCATGTCCAACGCGTCGATCGCGGGATGATTTTTGGTCGATCTCATAGGCCTATAAGGAAATTATACGTGGAAAGCGTGTAAATTCACTTGTAATATATGATTATACTCAGATTTTGAAGGGAAAATACATATTAGTCATTCCTATTTTTCTGTTCTTAACGAACAAGGTATTCGCTTAGTGGAGGGGGGGGTGGAGTCCGACTGGGTCCACTCGGCACGGCGGCCACTGATTTGCCTATTGTAGCCTGCCCCGGGTGATTATGATGACGGAGAATTTGGTGGAATGAAGACTGGCAGGGGAAACCGAAGTACTCGGAGAAAACCCGCCCATGCGCCACTCTGTCCACCACAAATCCCACTTGACCAGACCCGGGATCGAACCTGGGCCGCCGCGGTGGGAAGCCAGCATCTAACCGCTTGAGTTATGGCGCGGCCAACAAACAAGTCTCTACTTTCAATGTATTTTGCTTTTACAACAAACATCTTGTGTCGTGTTATTTTTACCAATAGTTTTGCTTAAAGCGTGGTAGATCACTGGCAGCTTTGACACTAAAAAGTCGATCACAACCTGTTTGAAGTTGGACATGCCTGCCCTATACCAATGATGCATTTTGGTCTACAGTATAAGAATGCGAAGTATAATAAATAGTAACGCATATATATATATAGACCAGTGTATGGATTTAAGGTGGTAATTAATACTAAAGACGACTTATTACAATTAAATCTTATTAAAACACACCTGGTATTGAAGTAATTTTGAAACTTAACTGCCATATTGACCGCCACGTTAGTGCTGCCAACCTTAAAGGTTTCTGTACATGGGACTCGAAGACTAACCTTACAATTTGCCTCCAATAAATCCACATGGTCAGGTAAAGTTTTAAATTTGGGTCGCTTACAACATTCTCATTAACTGCCAAATTATATAAGCAATTATGTTTTAACTGTTGTAAATGATTCAAAACGGGAAAAGGTATGACTGTCCTGCATTATATTCTCCGTGGTGGTAGTCTGTTCACTTGTTCTTTCCGTGGTTATTCATGCCGCCTTATTTGAATGCAGTTGTTCTAAACTATATTGCGAACTCACTGCTGTGAAAACATAGTTTTACCAAGAATAAATTATAAAATCAGTTGTTCTGCTTACACACAACGACACTGGGATATTAACAGACTGATAAATTGCACCTTGTCTGAACTCCCCAAGACACCATATTCTGCTGAAAAATGAGAGGTTAGAAATTCAAATAACTTCAAAATTTCCTTCAGTAGAGTTTAAATTCATGTGAATGATAAATTGACAAACATCCAATAAATTCATCCACTCTACATTAATTAACATATACTTTTATAATTTATGTACATTATTACATAACCTTCATGTATAAAACTTGTCAGAATTTATAAAATACACAATATTAAAATCACTAATAAAAATATGTAGTAAAACATTTTTTCAACATGATGCAATTACACAGCACTTCATACAGTTTTAGCAGCCTTATGGTCCACAGAATGGATGAGCCGTTTGGACCAAAAATGAACCATTCTAATTAAAATACTGCCTTAGTATCAGGCAGTTCCACAAATCTCAGACTTAACAAGATACTTTCCCCTGGTCCAAATGAGTGTTTGCAATTTCTCACAGGTTCTTATTACTGAAGGTTTGTCTATTTCTGGCTTACATGAAACCGCAGAACAATTTTTCTTGTCGTTAAGTTGAAGACCACATATTTCATGTGTACCATTACAAAGCCAGTTCTAGTGTGTGTATACATTTACTGAATGAATGATTTGTATTAACAGCATCAAGCTCACTTTTAAGTCCCAGAGGTCTAACACACTGTTCATGCATCAACACTGATATATCAAGAACTGACAGATCACTCTCTTTTTTGCATCTGTTTCCATCTTTCAGACACCCAGGTACATGAAGTTCCACACCCAGATGCTTCTAGCCTATTTAGGAGACCTGCCTTCAGTTTCCTCCATAGGCCACCATCTTGGCTGAACCTAAATTCTCAGTTCTGCAAGTGTTGGGTGGGTGCGGGGGGAGGTTGTTTAATGTATGTAAAGTCCATCTACTTTACAAATCAGTCATTTCATTTTCTTTTCCTGTCCTAACAATTTTTCCTCCAGTGCAATTGTAAAAAGGAATCTTCTACATATTTTCCACTTTCACATCATTTTGTACACATTACTATTACCAGTAATGTGGTACAAAATACTCAACTTGTAATATTTTTTAAATTATTCTCTCTTGGATGGTTAATCCCTTGGGGGTAAAGCAGTAAGGGCATGAAGCTGACCACTAACCTCCATCTACTGCCAACATTAAATGATGGATCTATACATCAACTCTCTCATGTCTTCATGGCATGATGCCTATTTAAATGCCAAGGAATGATTTTTAACTGTGGCAAACCAAATAAAACCAAACCTTTGAAATGCTGTTGACCTGACTTCCTCCATGCCACATACAACTCTTACATTACCACAACTCAATTACCAGTCTCATTTCTGAAAATGGGCTCCGGCTCTCTGCTGGGCATACTAGCCTTTACCCACTTATTTATTCTTCCTTTGGTGATAAATTATATTTATGCACCAAAGTTTCATCATTTTAATCATCAAATATCACTTCCTCTACCTGAAACTGAAGAAAGTTTCCATTTGTGTAACACCTATGTAAATAACTCCTGCTCCCAAGTGTTTAATATTATGCACAATAAAATTATGGTTATCCTTGTCCTCATTTGCAATAACAGACGACTGATGAAAATTATATTTATCATGTGTTTATTGCCATATTCTTTCCCCCATAAAACAGAACACCAGGGCTTACTTAATGGAAGAAATAAACCACATATCCTAGAATATGGTTTGGACTGTAATCTGATGGATCATCCTGCATCATATTCTCCATCTCTTGAACAAGGTAACTAGACCAGCCCATGCAAATAAATTTGTTAAGTGGTCACAATAAACCATATGCTGAACACTGTAACCATACATCTGCTGTTAACAATACTTGGCATTCATTAGCCGGAAGCAAAAGCACTCTGTTAAGAACAGTACAATAAATAAGAGACATTTCTGTAATTATTCAAGAATAGTCTTGCATGAATAAGTAAAAGCATTCAGTTCTCTGCATTTCACCAACAGTCTATCAACTGTTTCCCTAATATCCCTGAACTGGTTGTATTTATAATGGAGGTACAGTGTGTTTTTGTGAGGTAGGAACTGAATTTATAAATATTTACATGAACATGAGACTTCAAAGAGTTACCAGTTGTTCTACAAGGTGAGTCTTTACTCCAGGACCATATCAGAAATGAAGACTGTTGTTCTGATGACTTACCATGGTAACCAGTTCTGTACCTTGGTTGCATTCTTTTACAAGGGTAAAGGTAAGCTATGATAAAGTTAACTGTGAGTTTAATTAATTAAGCACCATGCCATGAAGATGTATGAGGGGGTGGAGGTATAGCTCCATTCCTAACCTCAGCACTACAAGGAGGTAAGAACTTATACAGTGTGCACAACAATTCTGACCAAATATATTTCAAATAAACAAGTTTAACTTGATTCTTGCAATAGTGAGCAAATCACAGTAAGGACTGTACCTTCCCAAATGAGCAAAAACAGGTACACATATATTGACCCAACACCATTTGGTTTGCTTTGTCTTTGGGAGGCATCTGGATCCAGTTTCTGTAGGGAGAACCACAGGCCTGACAGCAATTTATCATGGATTTCTTCAGTCTCACCAGAAAAACCTTGGGATATTTTAAAAAGGTTACAACTAGCTCCTTCCATATAATTCCAAACTGATCATTCAAAATTATTGGGTCATTTCTCTTTCAACACATGAAACAGCAGCCACCATTACTATTTAAAAAAATACCAGGAAACTTCAGCCTTACAGAGAATGCACACTTATGTTCACTTACATCCTCTGAGATGCAGTGAAACCAAAACAGTATGATAATATGTACACTGCAAGGTGTGTATGTACTCTTTTATTTACTATATAATTCCTCTTGTTATTTTAAATGAGAATTTCAGTATGACTTGACTGGCAGCTCCATGTTCAATAGTAACAAGTCTTGACTTGTATTCAGGTCTGAACCAAGTGAATATCCAATGATCTGATTACTTTAAACAGCTGAAGTGTCTTCTGAAAGAGGAAGAATACACACGCATAAGGATAGAACAGAAATACTTTCTTATATAGTGTTTGTTTTGAAACTCCACTGGAAAAATTCACATTTTGAAAACTTCCATTTCTTTACAGAGGTACACCGGTACTGTACATGGCTGCAACTTGTGGATGTATGGTTTCTGCTTCATGCTTGGCATACCTACACATCAAAATGTGTATTCTTGATAATAGCTGTTGCAGCCTCGTTAGCAATTGGAGGTTAGTATTCAGAGATTGTCATGGCTATTGCAGGGCTGTCTTCCCTTCTATGCATTTTAATTTTGTATTCCACTCGTGATATGCTATGTACTACTTACTGTGAACCCCCAAATGTATCACATCCCACTGTTTTTGCCTAATCCTCTGAACCATTCTTGACTGGGTGCACTGGTGATGTATCAGAGTTTTCAGGAAAACTATTTTTGCTCTGTTTTGTATCTACCATTTCATACTTAAAGACCTGAAGATTGAAATATAGCTCTATAATTTTACATGGGCGTATAATTTCATTTCACACTCCTAGAAAAGAACACTGATTGAGGACGTGCTCATGGTAAGTTACCAAGTAACTATAAGGCATAAGGTCCTTCTTTACAAGCTGCTTGGCTATCAACAAAATCCCCAATCTTTTATAAAAGCCAAAGGTTCATTACTCTAAGTATAGTGATTTTCTTATGACCGACTATAGTTATGCATGCAGCAAATCAGCCAAGAGTTTTAAGAGACCTGATTTAAATAACTATTTCCAGATTGGGATTTTATTAACATTTCAGGATTCATAATGCAGACACCTGAACCACTCCCTCTGTTACCTCATACTGCACATTCAAATCATCTTTCGTTGCGTGACAGCTATACTAATGACAGATACCAGTGTCACTCAAGACTACACACATTCTGCGTGGAACTTCAGACACTTCATGGGGAGCATGAAGCAAACATCAAAGAATTTCATACAGAGTTAAAAGCCTTGAGAGATGCAACAGACATGACGAGAAAACATATCGATGAAATTAAGTCACTGGTGCAGTACGTAAAGGTAACATAACCTTAGAAAAGTGTAATATTGTGAGGTTCATAGTTAGAAAGCTGGTCTTTATACCACTTTTATTTCTTCTCTTTCAGACAGACGCTTCCAAAATGGAAGTCGCTCCATCTCTTAACAAAGGTAAATCATAGGATTATGTATGTCAACCACGATAATTTACAGCTCAACAAGTGCAACAGTATGTATGTTTAAGTGGAAATAAAATAAACTATGCCTAATCTGCAATGCACAGTTGTATATGATTGAAATTTACTGGACTACCCCTACAAGCTGGTCTTTGCAAAAAAAGAAAAGCTCTTACAGTCATACTTTACAACATATTTTTAAATATTAATATTTCAGTAATATTTCTCTTGTATATATTTGATAACTGTTTTACTGTGAGCCATGCAACAGCTGTCACATAAACTGCAAGAAATATGGGAGACACTGCATAATATTACATATTTTCAACTGTACGGACATAATCAAAAAAAGATGGTGTGTATTTTTTGTGTCTAAACATGTTAGGCCAACCACTGATGATGCAACCCATAGGCACACTTTATGTATATGCTGTTTCCTTTATATTTTAATATACCTGACAAGTACTAAAACTTGTCCACAGAATATAATTTGTCACACAGTGACGTGAACATAAGGTTTATAGACGGACACTAGTGACTGACTCACCATGTGATAATCACATTCAACGTCGCTGCCAAGGTGGGCCCAGATATCATGTTTCATCACTGGTGGAATCCTGATAAAGCATCCTCCCATCTTCCTGAGTGCCCAGCATCTCTAAATCCTATGGGTTTTAGGTGAAGGCTTTTTGAGTGGTGTTGGTTGCATTCCTGTTTCCTATGATTAATCAGTCTGCCTACATTACATATATTGTGAATAATCATTGTTAATTAAATAATTCAAATTAATAAAGTTTTAAATGAAATATAAGTTCCTTTGGTGCACTGTTCATGTAATATAATCCTTTACTATGAGCTATCATGCAACAAGAGAATAGTAGTTGTTAGAGATTACAGCGGACATAAATCTCTTGGTTCTACTTACGTAACATAACGTTCCTTGTGCCACGACACCACTAACGCAGACTGATGAAATGCACTTCAGACTAAAAGTGACGTGTCTTTGAGGAAATCAAATTTTCACGCCAATTTCACTGTGTTGCTACTTACAGAAGCATCAATACAAAAGCTGATCGAGGATGAACTTGCCAAATATGATGCAGACAAGCTAGGTATTCCTGATTATGCCCTGGAATCCTCAGGTAAGATGGTTCTGCACATGGGTATTACAAAAACACTAATTCTTCTATCTTTTTGTAATGAATATTAAATCTTGTACCTGAATGGCTGCTTCATATTCCCATCAGGTGGAAGTATTGTAGCAACTCCAGACACAAGGATTTACAAGCAGATGACCTGGGTAACTCTCTGGGGCATCAGGTTATTTACAACTGGAACTAACAGTCCTCGGAATATTATCCAGGTTGGTGTAAAATTTCAAAAACTCAGCGGGACTAGAGACTAAGTCTAATGGTAAACTTTAAGAGCATTTCGAAAATACAGAATCTGGGAACAGTGAAACTTGTAAAGGAAATTGTTTTATATCTGTTTCTCACTTTCAAGGCATCTTCTCAATGAAACAGATTGTATAAACATTATATGCGAGGGTGATTATGAACGAAGGACACTGCCTCTCTTCAAACCCATGGTTTCACTCCCATTTCTTCTGATATTTCCTGGCATAATCCATGCTGTTCTAAGAAACTGTACAGGTTCTGGGCAATAGTTTTGTGGATTTTCAGTATCTTGCAAGTTCATACTAAAAGTGTCGGCAGAAACATTTCTGGGCCATTGAAAAGTGATTGAGACATATAACATGAAACACACATCAGGCCAATAACAGCAGACTTTGCTGAATATCTTATTTATTTTATGAACTGCCTGTAATTATCAGCTGGCTGATTAGCACCTCATTCACTTTTAGGCATCACTGCAGCCAGGCAACTGCTGGGCATTCGAGGGTTCAAGAGGAACTGTTATAATTAAATTATCTGCTAGAATTCACATTACTGCAGTAACATTGGAGCATATACCTCAAAGAATATCAACCACAGGGAATATTAATTCAGCACCAAAAATGTTTGCCGTCTTTGTAAGTATGACGCAACTGCTTCGCGGCAAGCTGAACCAAGATTAACAAGATAAGTTTCACCTCCCCCCCCCGACTAATATCCAGTAGTTAACACTCAGAATATGTTTAGTCAACTCTACTAACCTTTCAGAATTCCATGTCTGTTTAAGCATGTGTATATTATAACAATTCTAGCCACTATAACATAACAGATTTATCCTCAAAGACACATTCCAGACCCAGTAACATCACTCCAGTTCCCCAGGGCCAGAACAGAAGGCCCCAAATATCAAAAGGGATATTCATATAAAGGTGTAGTGTTTTCCTCTAACTTTCTACATAAGTTTCCTCACAGGATATGTACGTGACATTTTCAGTCTGAAGAATTTAACAAGATGACTGACAAGCCAAAATGATTCTGTTAGTGAACTCCAGAAGACTTTCGCCCGATATAAAGGAAGTAACCTAGATTTCTGCTGAACACCTTCAACTCGATATTTCGATGCATTCCTTCCTGAGTGCAAATTTACTCACTTCAGATGCCTCCAGACACTGTGTTATTCTTGCTGCCCTGTGATGGTGCAAGTATCCCTTTAAGAATATTCAAAATCATACCAGCAGAATAAAACAGAACTTACAGGGATTCCTCTAAGCAATCTTCTTCTGTAACATGTCCATGCTGTTATATGACACCATATAAATGCATATACCACATGACAGTCAGACTACAGATCACAAAAAAACAAATAAATACATGACATTTTCTTTTGTATTCTTTGCACCCTGTACTTTTAAACTTTTTTCTCTTCTTCCAGGGTCTGAAGCACGACAGTAATGATAAAGATCATTTAGGCTACTTCACCTATGACATAAATGGATCACCTACACAGACATTTGAAGTAATTCAAAAGGTAACTAAATAAATGAAAAAGGTGGCTCTGCATAACCAAGAGCAAAGCAGCAAATTCCTGTCAAGAATCAAGTGTCCCCCACTAAAGTTCTTCAATCATCGTACCATACTCTGATATTAATGCAAAGAGAATGCAAACCAAGGTGATAATGGTCCTTGAACTGAACAACAAGCATCTATCTTAAGTTTACTGTGAACCCCTCTTCATGTTATCTTCAGGCATTTAAATTCCACAACATTTTATAGGTGTAATAAGACACCACTGAGCATTTACTTTTCACAAGATGCTGAGCTGGGGCACTCGGGATCATGGTCCCATCCTCCTTGCATGCTAGGTTTGTCCAGAAAAGTGGCAACAGCAGTCTTCACAGTTATGACTGGCTCTCATCATGGTGTTAGTGAGCCTCTCCATTATGCATGTCTGGCTCATCTGTTTTCTCTCCCCCACCAGGCACAACAAAACTACAGCTTCCAAGCAGTGGAGCTCTCAGTTCTCTCCAACCATGGAAACCTAGACTACACCTGCATCTACCGGTTTAGGGTTCATGGAACAGCAGCAACAAATGTCCAGATATAAACACAAGAGAGATGAGCACAGTGGAGCTGTATGTACCATCTGCTTGAACATATATAAAAAAAAAACACAAATGTATTTGTGTCATATATGATCCTCACAACAAACAAGAGATTATTTCACTAACATCATTAAATGGTGATGGTGTGTTTTCTGTGAAGTAAGAAGTGGGATTTTATATATTATTTAGATGAGGTTGACGCTTCAGAGTTAATAGAGTAACAGTTTTCTCTCTGCATCCTGGCAATCCAACACAGTACAGCTAGACCGCAATGAAAAGTTCAATGGATAAATGGATGGACAGCAAAGCCATTCTGCCATGAAGCAAGTTTTCAACAGCCTCAAATATTCGTATTTAGACAACCACCCGAATCGTGTCCCCTACCTACCGAAACTGTAAAATAAAACTAAGCCATAATCTCATTAGAAGTCCCCTGATTGCATTTGCCATCCGGTCTATTTAACCATTAGCAATTAATGAGTTTTTGTTTCTTTAACATGTCCAGCCCCTGGCTCTAGTTAACAGATGGGGACTCACTGGTCACTTAATCAGTGTGTCAACTTTGGAATTAATACGCATAAAGTGAGACCAGAGATATAAATAAAATATTAACTGAACAGACATTAAGAATTAATGCGGGATTTAGGAAATAATGAACCTAGCGACAGTTACAGGCACAAAAACTGTCACTATGAGAAGCTGGTTAATGGATATAGTGGAAACACCCATTTGGAGTTTCTTGATTTAAGGTTCTTCCTCATGCAGACTTCCATTTCCATGATGAAATCAATAATCCCAGTGTTACATTACATCAGCTACTGTTATTGTTGTTAATACTTCTTGACTGGAAGTCAACTATACTTAGTATATTACATAAGTAGTTATTTCTAGCTTCCCCATCAGTACACTGTACACTAGCATATCAATCAATACTATAGCAAGTGTCACGTAACTTCGAACAAGGCCAAGAGCAACCCTTAATGTGGAGAAGAAAAATTTCAGACAAGGGGGTGGGTTCGAGGCAGGTGGAAGTGGAGGAACAAGTGTTAAGAAACTCCTCCCACCACAAGCTAAGCGCGGGATTTTACTAGGAATGCAGGGCCTTGTTCGATGTTACGTGACACTGTCTATAACTGTTAGACAAATATCAACTGAAAACGTCTGACTGAACAGAGGGTTTCTCAGTTTTGAGGTAGAATAAGTTAAATGTATGGCAGTCTGCATTCAAGTACATTCTGTAAGTTGGCTGAGTTATGTTATGAAGATTATGATCTTCTGGGACGTGACACCACTGTAGTTTGGTGGATGGGTACCCATGTTTTGGAGGAACCTGCTGCCTCCTTGTTCAGGTACCTAGGTCACATGCCTAAAGACAATACATTTCATAGTCACATGAGAACCTCAAATGTCATGATATTTTAGGATATGAAAGGAGCATTGGATAAGCCTGGGTACAACAGAATGTATATATAGTGGTGTGTGGATTCAGAGGCTATGATATAAATAAAGCAAATAATTCATTGGCCTGTCACTTTATCACAATCTTCAGAAGACACTGCATTTCAAAACAAAGAAAATACAGTTTAGTTCCAACTATTTGAACCACCCCAATCAGAGGTAGGGGCAACAGTTGCGGTGTTTGCTCCCCACTCTTCCGATACCTGCAAGAACATAAAATTATTGGTAATGTACACAAACAGCACTCCTACATATACAACTGGGTGGATCAGGTCACAAAAGGACAGTGTCCCACTACAACTTTAATAAGCATTAATATGTTGGTTGGAGGCAGGTGGCAGAAGCTGGTATACTGCAGTTTGGAATCAAGGCATATATATGTCTTCTGCCACCAATGGAAGTTACCGTTAACGAACACTACCTGTGTGGCCCAGTCATCTGACGTGCTGTACGAGACAGGCTGAGCAGCGCTTCCTGACACTGGCGCAGGAACTGGAACATCCTCTGCCCAACTCCGTGTTACTGGCTCTGTGACAATCTCACTACCCCACACTTCAGCTGGCTGTGAGGCAAAGTCAGTATCGGCCTTCAGTGGGGCTGCCACCACTTCCTTTGTAGCCTGCTCTTCCTTCTCAGCCTGTTTTGAATATGACAAAGTGTAAACCTTCAAGTGCTGAAACAAACTACACAGCGGCTTGTTTGGCAAACCATAAGGCTGACCCTCACAGAGTCCTTCTACTGGAGATATGTACCTAAACATACAAACATGAATTTAATTAGACATGTTTCGGTAACTTTCATATGATAAAGCTTTCTTTAAGAAAATTTGCTAGAATTCAGGCTGGTGAAACTTTACAGCATTTGCATGAGACTGGTGTGGTTCATTTACTCTAAATAAGCGATGTCTTCCAACAGACTAAAGGCTAATACAGACTCAGCTGCTACAAATGTAGTGCATCTCAATCATCTCTGAGACCACCCATGTGTAACTACACTTCTGTCTGTAAAAGGGAAGTTCACACTACCAAAGCTGTAAGATATCAGTTATATATTCTTGTACGTAACTTTTGCTAGTACAGATAAGATTCCCACTGCTTTCAAATAGCTTGCAAAATTTTAGACCCAGAACTTTGTGTCTGCTCAAGTAATCAAAACCTATGAACTGCTTCTAAGTTCACTCTGGACATACAGGCACACATGTCCACATTGAGCAGAAGCCTCATTTCTCAAGTTCTGTGGCCTAACAAGGCACTGCAGTGGCAGCATGAAAACAGCTACACTATTTTGAACATGGTACACTTAGTTTCCTTTCTAAGCCAGCTGACATACGGTATCACAATATTCATCTTTGTATCAATTCTGAGTTTCATTAAACTTGATATGAATGTCATGCCACTGGAAGTTATCCCACTTTCAAACTTTCAAATTCCCTACTACAGTCAATATGACTAAAGCAACATCCATGCATACTGCTGAGATGGGAGCAGCTAATTAACATATGGTTCAAAAATTCTGCATGCAGTAGAACCCCAATCCTTTGCTTATCCAACTTGACTTTGCACTTCTTTAAACAATGAACCTCAAAATTTCACTGTGTATGTATGTGTATATATATATGTATGACTTTCACTTATAACAGTTCACTTCTGCACTTCTTTTTTAACTTCATTCTGGTCCATAACACTAGTCAGTACTACAGAATGATTTGACTACACGATCCAGTGTAGCTCAAAAGTACATTTATATATATATTATGCCTTTACATGTTTTGGTCAATTAATGACCATCTTCAGAAGGCAAACAACAACACTTGAGAAAACTACTATTACACAAATCATAGTACATCAAGTTCAAAGTTGTCCAAAGTTTTATATGTAAAGATTCTAAATTAAGCTAAAATGTGGCGAGTTAAAATATCAGTAAAATTCTTAATATTTGAAATCTTAAACCACTTAGGTTCGTGTCTTTGTGCCCCTTCTATCAATGGGAGATTGGGTAGACTGCTGCCCTTGGAGGTCCAGGCACTGTTCTTTTCTTCTTCTTTACATAGTTGGTTAAGAATCAGTGTTTGTTACCTAGCTGCTTCTCCAATCATTTGTTGAGGCACTGGACAGTGTAGTCAAATCATTATACAATCTGCACTTCTTTCTGATATTGCTGTTACCAATTAAATATTGCCCACACACTACTGTTTCATAATACAATTGTAAACCACACTGGGTAGATATTCTTCCATATTTTTAATGTTATCTGTATTATCCAACATTTTTAGTGGTAATCCTATTGCCCTCCAGCTCAGTTTAGGTCACATAATCGGGTTCTAATGTATTAAAGAATCTTACGTGTGTTGGCCCCATTCAGTTGCAAAAGACAGGAGCACCAGTCAGTCTTGCACTAAAGCACTTGGTGTCAGAAACAATAAATGAACTTCAGATTTTCAGGCCAAACCAAACACATGCAGAATGTCTTACAAATTAGTTATGTGCAGTTAGCTAGATCATTCAATGTCTGAGCCTGACATTCTACCCAGGCCCGCCTTCTTACATAGACAGAAAAGTACCTCTTCAGGGTCTCTGTAAAAGAAGAGATCCACAACAACATCCCACTTGCCATCCCGAGGAATGGAGCCACGGAAACGCAGAACTTCTCGTGCCAACAGCCACCACATCAGGCCAATAGAATGTGCAGACTGAAATTAAACATATAAAACAAATGCCTGCCTCTGTTAACAAGTCAACTGATTCAATGTAACTCAACGTAACACACAAAACTGTTCTCAACTGATGTTTTATTCTTAACCCTTCAGTCCCGGGGGCATTTAAATCGTTTTAGCACTCCAATGCCGGGGGCTATTTAAATAATTTAATCGGAGAATGCAGCACTTAACTTAAAGCTTAATAAACAGGGAAAAACTGGAGTTCTGTTTTTCAGATTTTCACACAACGTCAAGAGAAGTATATAGAATTAAAGTATTTACCCACACTACTTTAAAATTATTTTTGGGCCAGTAAGCATATAAAAATTATTAATTACCTTAAAAATTCAGCTATGGGTGGTAGTCACGGAAACACTCAATGCTGCCCTCATTTCCAACAGCTTCAATCAAGGCACGATCATCTAACTTGCTTTCAGTGTCAAAATCCGAATCTGACAGACTTTGTTCGGAATCACTTTCAAGCAAACACTGTAAGTCCTCGTCACTCAAC